GTTAACAGTTCGCTCGATCATTTCTACAGATTTTGCCAAAGGAGAGCGCGTAGTCGGTTTCGCCTATTCGCCCAAGCGAATAGTTGTCAACAGGCTTGGTCGATCGTTTCTGCAGGTTTCGCCAAAGGAGGGCGCGCAGTCGGTCTCGGCTATTCGCTCGGGCGAATAGCTGTTAACAGGTTTGGTTGATAGTTACCGCGGGTTTCGCCAAAGAAGGAGCCGCCCGTCTTCGCATGGCCGATAGCTTCGGCCATCGGGGGCCCCACTCGGTCGTTGGACAGGCGACATGAGGCGGAGCCAGTCGGGCCTATCCGGGTTCGGCGTTACCCAAGGAAGGCGGGTACTCCTAATGGTGAACAAGCCCAAAGCCGCGGGGAATATTTCCCGAATTTGTAGTAGTTGAGAGGGCATTTACGTCCTATGAAAAGCCCACGGGTATGTATAAATAGCCCCCGTTGAGGGAATGTAAAGCAGAGAGAAACAAAGTTCAATGAAATCGTTCATCTTGTTTGGCTCAAGTCCTACTTCATCTACTTCTCACGCCTGATTTCGCTTGAGCGGCAACCAGTGTTCGAAGGCCGTGGCCTAGAACAGCAAACCTATTCTCGTTTCAGGGTTGCATTGGTGTTGCCATTCAATTTAATTCCTCTAGTTCAATATCTACATCGAACAGAGCCTAACTATACTTCTCTATGTGATTTTCTGTTTTCCAGCGGTGGATGTGAGGTACCTCTGCATCCTGATTCCTGACTAGTCCTTGCTCAGGACTCAGGTTACCAAGCTACTGTATGGGCTTATGTTTATGGACCTCCGAGGTATTCTTTCTATAGATGCCATAGGCCCATGTTATCATTGTTCTTTATACTGAACATTTTATTACCAAGTTGGCTACAAGTAACACTTTCTGTACAAGTAGGAACATCTTTTTTTTTCAATATGGCTCCGTTCGCTTCGCTGAAAAAATAAGCCGAAACACTGTTCTAGCTGATTTGTTGTGAGAGAAAAGTACTGTTCCAGCTGAAAAAAACAAGCTGAAAAAGAAAGATTACAAAAGAACATGGCCTATAAATCTATCTCCATCCGGAGACCGCGAGATGATGCTCTACTGTTTGGCAAGTCAAACTATCGTCATTCCGCCAAAGGCTTCAATTTATATCGGGTCTTCATGCAAAACAGAATAATGATAACATGGGCCTATGGTATCTATAAAAAGAATAGCAATTCTGAACATATAAGCCCATAGGTTTTTTTTGAAAGGGTATAAGCTGCTCTGTCTCATAGTAGAAGTCGTTCTTGCTTCCCGAGAAGTTAACTTTTTTCAACTTTTACCAATTATGCATAAAAAAATATTAATATTTATAATATATAATTAGTATCATGAGGTAGATCGTTGAATAAACTTTTATAATAAATTTATTTGAAGATATAAATACTGCACATATTTTTTTATAAATATAGTTAAAGTTAAAAAAGTTTAACTTACATGTATCTTATAGCAATTTTATTTCTGGTACGGAGGGAGTAGGTTGCTAACATGGGCAAAAGCAGTATTCGGATCTTTGATCCCAAAATATATTGAGAGATATTTCAGATACAAGACATGTCTGCAGCAATGGATGGGGCTTTTTGTTCGTGAGCTTTGACCACATGGGGAAGAAGTAAAAAGCGGCGGCAGCAACCCGTGCCTGACAAATTCCCACGTCCCACTAGTTCTGGCTGCTGTTCTCACATCTCACTAGTGTCTTGTTTAGATTGTCTTAAAATTTTAAGTTTTTTTATTCTCTCTTTATTACATCAATTTTTGAACACATGTATGAAGCATTAAATGTAGGTAAAAAAATAACTAATTACACAGTTTAGTTGTAAATCACGAGACGAATCTTTTGAGCCTAGTTAGTTCATCATCAGACAAAGTTTGTCAAATACAAACGAAACGTGCTATAATGTCCAGATTACAAAAATTTACAATCTAAACCAGGCCTAGCTCTGGCTGCTGGACATGAGACTGAGAGGGACAGGGGCAAAAAATCTGACGACTGGTGAACGCCATCGGCAGGAAGCCAACATCGATCACCCCACCCCCCAGGACGGCGACCTCTACCGGCGCCGGCGGCCCCGCGCGGCAACTGCAGCGCTGCAGCAGCTCGCACCTGCGCGCACGGCGTGCAGCTAACCACTGCCCTCCGTAGCGTGCCACATCGCAGGCTCCTGCGCCACGAGCAGCTCATCCGCACCGAATAAAACAGTAGCCCCGGCTTAGTTGGGCACGTCTCGGCCGCCGTCGATTTCACTGAAGTTCGCCCAACGCAGTAATTCACAAACCGTACCTGAAACAGTGATCACACGTCTTTTGGCACTGGTAGCTTAGGTACTTGCACTCACGAGGAAGCATCGCACGAAAGCGTTGCACTTTGTGCATGTCAATACAAATACAAAAGTTTCTGATAGATTGAGAAACGCAGCTTTGCTATCCCAAACATTGGTATCTCAAATATGCCAGCGAAAACATGTGCTTTTTTATTTGGTTACCATTTCCTCTTTTTTTATCTCTTCTACTAATCAACAACTAGAAAGACAAATCTATCCTAGTCAAATTAGAATGTACGGGAATTTAAAATATATTAAGCTCCCATTCACACACACACACCCTCCTCTAGATATGTGTCTAAACGCTCCCATTCACCCTCCTTCTCTGATCGGCTTTCTCGATCCTTCAAAAATATATTAAGCCAAATCAAACAAAAAAAATTCTTTTGGAGCTCAAGATTTGCTGCCCTGACCTGTCCAATAAGGGTTATAGCTCGAGATAAAAGCCTAAAATACTCTAGTCTACTCACATGAGAATCTTCGAAATAGCCGTCAAATCCCAAGATTGATGAAGTTATCATAGTTGTCTTACTGGTGACGAATACACCGGCTGCCAATAAAAAAAATAACATCGAACTCTAGCTCGGTTGGTCAGGTTACTTATTGTGGACCTTCTCGTCCAGGTTCAAGTCATTGACTTAGCAATCTGTGGTGACTGTCAATTTCGACATTTATCGGTGCATGTGTGTAAACGTCTATGTCTATACTGAGTTTCAAAAAAAATATCATTAAATTCTAGAATAATTTCGAAAAATAAGAGCACCCGTGTTGAATCTATGCACAACAAGTTGACTCGGTGGTGATTGTTGTCCTTCAAATAGAATGATCTGGAAAGAGAGAAAAAATCCTTGCTAAGATAATTTTTTTATGATTATTGGAAAACAATGTTGTCCTAAATAAAGACAGCTTGATTAAGAGGAAATGGATTTTAGTAGTCCAAAGTATTACTCCTGTGATTTCCTATTGCAAAAGTGGTGTGGTTAGTGGTTGATAATTTCCTATTGCAGAAGTGGTGTGGTTAGTGGTTGATAAGGGCAAGGCTATTGGAGTTACTGATATCCCAGTGAACCTTGCACAATGTTGGTCTTGGAGAAGAAAATGACTACCAAATGTTCAGAAAATGCCATATTTTTAAAATTGCTACAGATGTTGTGTTATTTGGAAAATCAAGAGCAAGGCATGCTTCGAAAACATAAGAACACAGCGAAAATTATTTGTATGCCTGCGCATTGATGAATACTGTACATTGTCTCTACTCTGTGGATATTTTGTACCCAAATACAGATAGCATAAGCATTAAAGTTATGATATATTTATGAATAAATATTTCTCTGCTTGTAACGGGAGAAACAATCTATCATCAGAGTTATATTTTAATTTGACTAGGTTTAATAGGACACATTTGATAGCTTTTCTTTCGTTACACATACAAGCATGTTTGCTAGTATAAATAATCAAAATAGAGTTATTTTTGTTAAAAAAATAATTTTTGCAACGTTTATATAGTAAAAAAATGAAAAAAAGAAACATCGCATCCGACCAAATTCGGCCAAGCTGCACGTGTGAAAACAAAAGGGGAATTCCTTATGTGCCATTAAAAAAGATCGAATGTCATGTGTGCCTCTGGAAAAGTTCAGCGGTCTTCAGCGCCACTGCTCCAACTTTTTTGTGCCCTCCATGCCACTGCCATCAGTTTGGGCTCAAACGCCGTCAAACTGTAGGTGTGAAAAGTTGAAAATTATGTCATTAATTTTTTTTGAGCATCTTAACGACTTCAAATGAAAAAACTCAAAACTAGAAAGTTGTAAATCTTGTCGAGATTTATAATTTTCATATAAAAATTATTTTCATTTAATTCCGCAAAAAAAGATATGATTTTTCTAAGATATATTAATTATATCAAATCATATTTTTTGCAGAATTAAATGAAGATAATTTTTATACGAAGATTATAGATCTCGGCGAGATCTATAACTTTCTAGTTTTGTGTTTTTTCATTTGAAGTCGCTAAGATGCTCAAAAAAATTAATGACATATTTAAACTTAAGGGTATTTTCGACTTTTCACACCTGCAGTTTGACGGCGTTAGAGCCTAAACTGACGACAGTGGCATGGAGGACAAAAAAAAGTTAGAACAGTGACGTTGAAGACCGTTGAACTTTTTTAGAGACACACGAGACATTCCGATCTTTTTTTTTTTAAGGACACACAAGGAATTCCCCAAAACAAAATCGGTGAAACCCGAGTTGCCGACCGAAACTATCTCGCTCCAACGGCCTGACTCATGTGGGCCAAATTCTTTCTTGCCAAAGAAGCATAGCCCAGGCGGGCAGGCAAGGCCGAGAAGGCGCAGGAATCCCCCACTCCACACCAACCGCTTCCAAAGCCAAGCCGAGCGCACCGTCCCGGAACTCACGATCCCTCTCCTCCGTCTCATCTTTTACCGCAACCTCATCCTATCCGTTTCACGCTCATCCCCTTCTTCTTATTATAACTCCATTCCCCGTTCCGCCGTACGTCCCCTCCCCATCCCCATTCCCCAGCCCACGACCTCCGCCACCGGCCACCGCCTGCCTCAGACCCCCGCCCCGTCCCGCCCGTCCGTTACCCCCCAGCGCGACGCGGCCGCGGCCATGACGCCCTCCTCCGCTCTCGCCCTCGCGCACCACGCCGCGGCGTCCCCGCTCCCGGCCTCCACGCCGCGGCCCTCTTCCAGGTCCAGCTCGCTGAGCCTGGCGGGCCCGGGGGCCGCCGTGCTCGGCCCGCGACGGCTCGTCGCGGCGGGGCCCCCGCGGGCGTTCTTCTCCTCGTCCCCGTACCAGCCGCCCCAGCAGCCGGAGGGGTTCTCGCCGCACCGGGAGTACGGCCTGGTCCCCATGGTCATCGAGACCACCTCCCGCGGGGAGCGCGCCTACGACATCTTCTCGCGCCTGCTCAAGGAGCGCATCGTCTGCATCCACGGGCCCATCGCCGACGACACGGCCTCGCTCGTCGTCGCGCAGCTGCTCTTCCTCGAGTCCGAGAACCCGCTCAAGCCCGTCCACCTCTACATCAACTCCCCCGGGGGCGTAGTCACCGCGGGGCTCGCCATCTACGACACCATGCAGTACATCCGCTGCCCCGTCACCACGCTCTGCATCGGTCAGGCGGCCTCCATGGGCTCGCTCCTTCTCGCGGCCGGGGCGCCCGGTGAGAGGCGCGCGCTGCCCAACGCCAGGGTCATGATCCACCAGCCCTCGGGCGGCGCGCAGGGCCAGGCCACCGACATCGCCATCCAGGCCAAGGAGATCCTCAAGATGCGCGACCGCCTCAACAAGATCTACCAGAAGCACACGCGCCAGCCCATAGATAAGATCGAGCAGTGCATGGAGAGAGATCTCTTCATGGACCCCGAGGAGGCGCGCGACTGGGGCCTCATCGACGAGGTCATCGAGAGCCGGCCTGCCTCGCTCGTGCCCGATGGAATCGGTGGAGGCCTCGATGTGCCCAGCCTCGGTGTCGGTCCCGGCGGACGGGGAAGGGACGCCGTGGAGCCTTCGGCGGTGTGAGGATTTTCCTCAAAGGTGAAATCCCTTTCGCATCCGGTGGTTATGGAGGCGTCCGGCTCCCCATTCTCCTTGTTGCTTAAATTGCCTGAATTGAGCTATTGGGGATATAATTATTGCAACTCCAAGGAAATTCTGTTGTGTTGATACTGATAAATTAACACAGTATTGTGTATGTTGTACTATATTAGTATCAATTCCATGCAAGGGCATTGAAACTCTCTCTCTTTTGTTTCTTTCTAACAGTAATTGCTCTTGCCTTTTTGTTTCTATCAGGGACTAATTCTTAATATGTTTTTGGTTTCATGTTGGTGTTCTTCAAATGGCCTTGTTGCTGACATAAGTATCATCTATATGTTAAATATGCGAGGACATTATTTTGATCCGCCATGTAATGCATTTCAAGTTTATAGAGTTATCTGAGACAGTGGCCTTAGAACAAGTGTACTTTTGCGCAATTGATTGCTTGCTTGGATTTTTATTTTCAATTATGTGGTTAAATTTCTAAAAGTGCTGTTGTTTGGTTGGGCATTAAAACATACAGTTTGCAAAACGAACATTTAAGCGCTGTAGTCCAGATTACCCAAAAGAGCATCTTGTAAGGTAGTTAAGTGTGAGATATCATGTGTTCTAACATAGGAATCGTTCTTATCAAGAATTTATTGGAACCTCGTTAACTCGTTGCACAAACTTGATGTAAATTGTACTCAATATAGTCTATAGCTCAACCGAGTCTTAATAGACCATGGAATTAAGCTTTGATGGTTTAGACTTTTTAGAACAAGTTTAGAGTCATTACTATCTGGTTAAGCTCTGAACTGTTTGATTTTGTGATAAAATTTGTGTCAAATTAGATTTGTGTGTCAGCTATTGTTGATCACATGTTTCCACTTCAATCTTTACTAGTTCTGATCACGTTTCTGATGGCAATATTACACTGTTGGAGTTCTCCACCTAATGAACTGTATGTAATCTAGCACTTTGTGCAACAGGGTGGATAAAAATGGTGTATGTTATAAAAACTCCAAGAAATATTTACCATCTGTTCTTAGAAGCTGCCACAGTTGCAGTTTAACATCTCTCTTCTTTAGATTTTCATAAAGCCTGCTTGGCACGTGCCAAAAAAAGTACTTTGTAAGTTGAATGGATAATGAATGAAGCGGGTTCAATAATTTGGGCAAGATTCTTGGTCCTGCCAGGTTGCATTCTGGACAATTGTGATAAAATCAATGTGTAGTAGCATGTATTGCAGTTGGATGACACCAGTGTTCATTAGAACTGTAGAATTTTGATTTTTTTTTTGTGTGTGTGTGGTCTATCTAGTAAACCACCAGTTGGTTATTTTTTCAGGGTACCAAACAAGCCCAAACGAACAGGGCGCTGGTATTGTTGGTTTTTTAGTTTAGGAGTGTTAAGTGAGAGGTGTGCTTGTCTCAGGTTTCAGAACTAAAATTATGAATGTACCACTGAAGTTCCAGTTTAGGAAGACTTGAAACCATATTTGGTTGTTCAATGCCATCTGCCATGCTTCAAATGAATTTGGCTTGTAGAGTTTTTCCCTAATAGTGGAATTTATTGGTGTGAAGAATAGATTTGAATTGTTTATGTCAAGAATATAGTTTTTGTAGCTCTAAATTTGTGGCACCTTGTTAGTGCTAAAGGTTTTTTGGAAAGTTCACTTGTCTTAGTCGAAGTTGATGCTCCGGTGCTTGAGAATTAGGTTCAGTGTGTCATTAAGCTAATGTTATTTGGTTGAGGATGAGATTTAAGCTAATATTATTTGTTGATTGACCAGACGGAATTAAGCTGTGGTGCTTTGACATACTTGCTGTCTTGTTGAGCTCATTAGTCAAATTGTTGTATGATCAGATGAGTACATTCGACATTTTCTTTTGCTTGTTTTAATTTGAAGCAATTAGTCTAGTAATCCGGTGGCAAGAAACACCAATGCATTAGATTGGAGTTCTACGCCTAGTGGAAACAGTGTGTAATCCAGCACTGCAACACAGTTACAATTGGTGGGCTTAGAATTTGAAGAATTATTGACTTGTCTGATTCGAAGTAGTTGCACGTGTATGCGTTGCTGAAGTTATGCATCTCTTATTATCAAACCGGGAGAGTTTGGCCGCCAACCAGCTTATCCACGTCGCCCGAAATTCCGCCCGCCGTCTGATCTCGTGTTTGTAGGCCCAGATCAGTCGAAGCGGATTCTGTTAGTTTGGCCGCCTCTCGCAGCATCCACGTCGCCCCAATTGTTCTAGGCCGTTGGATCCGCCATCGTGTGACCCTGACTGTTTGTAGCCGCTTTCTTTAGAATCTGCTTCTTCTGACTCCTCAGTCGCTCTATATTGATTTTGCTAGCTTCTGCGGCTTCTCGTGCGAATCTGGTGGAGCAAATATATACTCCAGCTCCTGATTCTCCTTCAGCAAAATTCTCATCCCCGCCTCTCCGTCTCTCCTGTACGCTCCCGACTCGCGCCATGGCTCAGCGACGACGGCATGGGGACGACCTCTCGGTGCCCGGCCCTCCTGGCTGGGCGGCCTCCCTCCTCCTCCTCCTCCTCCACCACCACGCCACTTCCTCCTCGCGACGCAAGCCAGCGGGTATCGCGGCCTAGGGTTTCGCCCCTCCGTCGCTGGTCATCCCCACGGGCGCGCGGGCAGCCAGCGGAGGCCCTGACGCGCCGGAGGGCTCTAGCGGCGGAGGAACCTCCGTGCTGGCCGTGGATGACAACAGGGAGGTCACGTTAGCAACCTCGGCGGTGGATCTCGGGTGGGCTGCATGGGCCCTCCCGCCACGGGATTCAAGCCGGAGCACGGCAGCAGGAAAGGTGATACCTCCACCACCACCACGCCCCTTCCTCCTCGCGACGCAAGGCAGCGGGTCGCAACGGCGTGAACGCCGGCCTAGGGTTTGGCCCCTCTGTCGCCTGTCATCCCCATAGCCGCGTGGCCAGGTCGGCGGCGCGAGCAGACTCCATGATGGCCGGTGCTGGACGGTGGCACACGTCCGCGAGCTGCCTCCCGCTGCCCCCCCCCTCAAGACGTGGCGTGGCCGCCGCCGTGGCTGCCACCCCGACGTGGCTTCGTCCCGCAGGTTCGCCTCTCCTCCTGGGCTCCGCATCAAGACAGTTTGAGCTCCATGCATTTTCTTCTGATCCTTTTGGTGGTCATACCTTTCAAGTTCTGATGTTAGGTATATATTCAGTACATGTTCTCTTTTCCTACCTTTTCCAAATTTTTCTTCTCTGTAATGTTACCATTTCAACTTACAGAACATAGAAGGTGGAAAGGCCTACCATCTTGTCGTGTGTGTCAAGTCAACACAACCATCAGAGCTGACAGTTCAATTGACAAGCTCTGATGGGTTACAAACCCTGGCTTCAGCTACGATAACGTTAGTATATTTTCTCTTGGCATTTAGGCAGGAGAAAATATTTCTGTTATTCACAATAACTGATAGTATTGCCCTGTTGTAGAGTTTCTGGCACATCAAATTGGACAAAACTGGAGCCAAAATTGGTTGCTAAAGGCACGAATAGAACTTCAAGGCTTAAAATAACAGCTAGCAAGAAAGGTACTGTATGGTTTGATCAAGTATCACTCATGCCTGCAGACACATACAAGGTATAGTATAACTTTTGTTCTCTATGGTATGAGAAATAGAAACCAAGCTGAGAAAAAAAAGGTATAAAATTTAAAGCATACAGGCAGTAAAACAACTTTGTTTGGCAATGCAATCCTAGTCTCTGAACCAAAACACGTTTACAAAGTTTGTAGCCACATTTAAAACTACAGTAATCAGCTAACTGTCGTTTATAGCTAACTTTACTGATTTGGTTTGTTTGATGACTTTAATGCATACATAAGTGAATTTGATATCTTTCTACCATACAGCCATGCTTATATGCTTGTGCATAAGTTTACCTGCGTATTTAACAACGATTCTTCTTTATTCATGCAGGGACATGGTTTCCACACAGAACTTATAACCATGCTTTTGGATTTAAAAACACGATTCATGAGATTTCCTGGTAATGAGATGTATTTTCTTAATTAAAATCAAGTAATTGATGTTTGTACGTATATGATATATTGATAAGTGTGCAGACATATTTGTGATAATTTACTAGATTGCATACAACTCTTGTAGGTGGTTGCTTTGTTGAAGGCAACTGGTTAAGAAATGCTTTCAGATGGAAGGAAACTATTGGTCGATGGGAAGAAAGGCCTGGGCACTATGGCGACGTTTGGAATTACTGGACCGATGATGGCCTTGCCTTTTATGACTTCCTACTGGTAAAATTTTATTGATGTCATCTGATTTTGCTTCTTTTGGTTTCAGCCTAACTGATCATATCTTTATTCTGAATTGTTCACAAAAGCTTGGTGAAGACATGGGGGCTCTCTGTAGGTCGAGACGACGGACTAGAGGGGGTGAATAGTTCTTTCTAAAATTAATCGTATCGGCTAACCGAAACAAGTGCGGAATTAAAGCTATTGGTCTAGCCAAGACTACACCTCTCTATCTATGTTCTTTAGCACCTTCCAAAGATACTAATTAAGCAACAAGGGTGCCGGGCTAGCTAGAGCTCACCTAACCAATTCTAGAAGCAAGCTCACACAAACATATACACTAGTACTTTAAGCAACAAGGGAGCTCCTACACAAGCTAGTAAGCAAAAGCACAAAGCAACCTAATGCTCACTAACAATGCTCAATAACAAGGCAACCAATGCCAAATTAGAGAGCGCAAATACTTAGCTACATAAACTAAGCAATGTGACTAATAAGGTTACACAAACCAAATTAGTCACGCAAGGGAGCTACGTCTATGCTACACAAGCAAGAAGGTAACTAGTAAGCTACACAAGCTAACTAATTATAAGAGTAACTTCACAAGCACAATGTACATGAAATATAAAGCTTGTGAAAGAGGATTACAAACCAACGGAAAAAACAAGGTTGACACGGTGATTTTTCTCCTGAGGTTCATGTGCTTGCCAACACGCTAGTCCCCGTTGTGTCGACCACTCCCTTGGTGATTCGGCGGCTAATTGGCATCACTCGCCAAGCCCGCATGTCGGGCACCGCAAGAACCTACCCCAAAAGTGAGGGTAGCTCAATGACACGCTCAACTAGAGTTGCTCTTCGCCGCTCCCGTGGGGTGAGTACAATGCCCCTCACAAAGCTCTTCTCTGGAGCACTGCACAAGCTTCTTGCGGGCTTCGACGGAGACCACCACCAAGCCGTCTAGGAGGTGGCAACCTCCAAGAGTAACAAGCATCACCGGCTTGCAACTCGATCACCTAGTGCCACTCGATGCAACCTCACGATGTAATCACACTAGAATTGCTCTCTCACACAATCGGATGATCACTATCAAGTATGTGTGAGATGGAGGGCTCCCAAGCACTCTCAAGCATGGACACAAAGTCCCCCGAGGTGCTCAGCACCAGCCATGGCCGAGGCCACCTTCTATTTATAGCCCCACCGGCTAAACTAGCCGTTACCTCTCCACTGGGCAAAACTCGGGACGACCGGACGCTCCGGTCGTACCGACCGAACGCAGGACCTTAGCGTCCGGTCAACGGATGCTCGCCACGTGTTGCCTCCATTTAACCTCAGTCACTTGATCTCAACGGTCAAGTGATGACCGGACACAGCTGCTCAAACTGACCGGACGCAGCAACCCCAGCGTCCGGTCATTTCCAGTAAGGTACCAGTCGCGACCGAACGCGTCCGGTCGGTCACGATCGGACGCAGCGTCAGCGTTCGGTCCTTCTCCAACTTTTCTGTGTCGCCTACGTCACCGTACGTCAGCCTGACCGGACGCACCCTGCCAGCGTCCGGTCACTTCCAGCGCCAGCGTCCGGTCGAAGACCGACGCCTGCACGCCCTCGGCCGCCACTGACCGGACGCAGGACCCCAGCGTCCGGTCACCATGTGACCAGCGTCCGGTCCACACTGTGAGTCCCTATCTTCTCTGAATAGGGCGCCGATGGAGTATCGAACCCTTGCCTCCGTTCCTTCACCAAGTTGATCCACATTAACTCCAACTTCTTCTCCTTTGTAAATGTGCCAACACCATCAAGTGTACACCACCATGTGTATGTGTGTTAGCATTTTCACAAATATTTTGCCAAAGGATTAGCCACTCAACTTGCCACGCTACTCGATCCTAGCGATGATGCAAAGTTAGATCACTCGAGTGACACTAGATAACCGATATGCAAACAAGTTTGCCCCTCTTGATAGTACGGCCATCTATCCTAAACCCGGTCATCAACTTTTCTACACACCTATGACCGGTGAAATGAAATGCCCTAGGTTATACCTTTGCCTTGCGTATTCCATTCCATCTCCTCCAATGTTGATGCAACACATGCACCAACACGATCAACAATGATATGATCCACTTTATATCATCACGTGATCTTGTTGGTTCATCGATCTTGACCTCACTTGCTTTTCACCATTGCCTTCGTCCATCGGTGCCAAGTCTTGCTCAAGCTTCACCGCCACGCGGTCCATCGCTCCAAAGCCTCCAACTTGCCCTTCACGCTTGCAACCGGTCCATCAAGCCAAGTCATGTCTTGATCTTCTCCATCTTGATCACATGACTCAATGTCATGTCTCATGTGCAATAAGCTCCTTCATCATCACATGTGTGAGCTTTGCAACATCTCCAAGCCATTTTCACATTCATGGCATATGTTGCTCACACACATGTACCTGTGGATTAATCACCTATGTATCTCACATAAACACAATTAGTCCACCTAGGTTGTCACTCAATTACCAAAACTACACAAGGACCTTTCACTCTCCCAGTTTGGGTCTTCACTGCTGGTAGGTGGTGTTTGTGATTTGATAGTGTTTATGATTTGACAGGAAAATCCCTTTTTGTTTTATGTTTAATCATCATCAGCATACCCATTAAGTTCGGATCCTTGTCTTGAATTTAGGTATCAGCCACAATGATGGACTTCATATGATTGAACCTTTCGTTAAGGTATATATAATCTTGTGTTGTTTGCATGATGTAACATAAAAATTTTCTCCTCCTGTATTAGAATATCATCGATCATTGTCTTCTGCTTTTTTTTCTGGATTTTGTATAAGTTTTAAACCCATGTAGCTCATTTTTATCTCTGGAATCTGGAGTCTTTTGATCAGCAAGCTCAGTTCTGGTAGCCTCAATGACCTTTTCAGAGGAAAATCATATAAAAACTAATTTTTTCCCAGAATCTGAATGACGACCACATGTACTGTACATTTCTTGATGATTTTAATTATTACATGCTCTATTTCATGAGTTTGTTTTTCCTGATATAGGATGCTTTGGACGGCCTTGAGTTTGCAATGGGAAGTGAGGAGTCAGCGTGGGGTTCTATTAGACCTGCAATGGGGCATCCAGAATGATTCCCACTGAAGTATGCTGCAATTGGAAACGAAGACTGTCTTAAGGAGTTTTACCAAGGTATATAAAACCATTATCGATTGGCTTTAATATTGAACGGCTAACATGAATGTCCTACTCTGACCCTGATATTATTTAATTCTGCTTAAGTAGAAAATTACATCAGATTCTATTATTCTGTACGATCTGTCATTTACATTTTTTTGCGCTGCTTGTGATTCATCATTGGCCGGATCCGTCGGCTGCATGGTTGCTCCGCTCCCCATTCAATCTATGCAGTGAATCAGGTGCAAAAAAATCCACTTTATCTCCTTTCTTACCTTGCCGGTGCGCGCAAGGGCGCGCGTGATGGACTAGTGAATAGTGAAGTATGAACCATGCCTAGTTTGATGGTCGTAAATCTATCACGTGGTTTTATATATTGGACCTGGTTGAAGGTCTACTTTTTGTCAGGCATTTCACTAGAAGTTTCAGTTTGGGGAAAAGGCTTGAAATCATATTTATGCAGTTCTTTAGATTTAGATGTACTGTATGCTCAATGTTTCAAATTAATCTAGCTTGGGTCTGGCCTCATCGGGGCTGTTTCAAATGAAGAGAGAACCGGCGTGTGCGCCCAAACTCTTCCACCGCCGGCCATTCCTCTCGTCTCGGCATTTCACCAGCATCCTGCTTATCCCTTATTATTTCTTATCCGGTTCTCTCCATTACTGTTCAATTGCGTTTTGCGGAAGCATTGTCATGCTGCCTAGTTCAGCGTCAAAAAAACGTCAAGAACACGAACATGCCAATTGACGCGGCGGAAATGAGCGGCCACGATTTCCTACTCATTGATTTCATTGCGCGAGAGGTTCGATGCTAGTATATATCCGTCAGCTAGATCTTTCGAAGGTTCTTACTAGCAATTGGGGTGCGTTTATTGCTCGGTTTGGAGCCGTACCTTTTCAGCCAACGAACAGTATTTTTCTTTCACAACGAATCAACTAATAGTATTTATAGACATGACTTATCAACCGAGCGAACGTGGCGATAATCTAGAGTTCTGGACCGTGAGCGTTCTCATGCGTTTCTTCCACCAAAGCCTCTTTTCTCATGTCGTCGGGGCTGCGCATTATCCACTCGCTCCATTCGCCTCCCGCGCAGCCACGCTCGCCTGTACGTTGCCGCAGCCGCCGGTGCCCCGATCAGTCATCACCAACATAATCCCATAAAAACATTTGAACGACGTACTGGACGGAAGGTAAGTGCGAAAGGCGAAGTTGCGAAGGAATAGTTGTTACTACTCTTGTTACCCATTTGATCATTTGCTATGGTAACAAATTCCGATCGTCATCTTCAGCTGAAAGAGTACATATTATATTGAGTACCTCCGTATCCTCCTACGTATAGTAGCATCCACCTTCGCCCTCGGCTACCTCTCTCCCCTCCTCCCTTGAAGCCTAGCACCAGTGGCTGCAGGGCGGATATGTGCGGGTGTACTCATGAAAAAACAGCAATTATAATAAATTTTTCACCATATATGTATATATATATATATATATATATATATATATATATATATATATATATATATATACATACGGTAAAAATCTATCTACCTATACACACATGCCCCCTGGTATTTGCTCTAGCTTTGTCCCTGGCTGACCATGGAGGCGTGCGTCCTAATCCTCATAGATGACTTCGCAGAAAAGTCTGTAAAAAACTATGTAACTTTTCCTTTAACTCTTGAGTACAGTTACTATTGCAACAAACTTTCTACTCCCTCCAGTCTTGTATAAGGCATTTTGCAGAGGTCAAGAGTCCAACTTTATAATCTTTGGCTAAAAGTTAATTATTGCATACAAACTTAATACTATTAGATTTGTAACCAAATTTACTATCTAATAATCATAAACAATATAACAGAAAATAAATAAATGATTAAAGTGTAATTTAAGACACCATGTCATATTAAAAAATGTCTTATAAATTAGATCTGAGGGATTGAGATGACAAGTGCCCACATATCAGAAGATGTCGTATAATATGTCAGAAGGTGCCTTATAATTTAGGATCCCACTATTTACACATGTGAATACATCATCTATAGATGGCTGATGTCACTCCCACTGTATAGAAAATCTTACAAAACTTAGTTAGCAAGCCGCCAAAGGGAGACCGAGTGCTAAAGTTTTGGGCCACGCTGTATGGCCTAGGGAGACCGAAGGATAGATGCGGCCCAAACTTCCGGCTAACCCCCCACCACCCCCCTTCTCCCACGACGCCGATCCCCGTCGCCGCCGCCTCATTTCCTTCCCGTCCGAACCCTTCTTCCGTCCTGCTCGGGCGTTCCGACCAGCGTTGCTCGCTTCTCGTCACTCCCACCGGCTGCTGCTATGGCCGCGCCACGGTAGAATGGCTTCCCTCTTCAACAAGTTCCAAGAGGTACACGTCCTGTCTGTTTCCCTTCACACCACCCAACCATCGCGGGATCTCGATCTGCCTGATTCCTCCTCGTCGCGGGCGTCCAAGCCAATCATGGCGCCCAACATGGATTCCTTGACACGAGGAAGATTCTGTCCCGTACTGAACGCTTTGCCCCGATAGAATTTGGCAGATGCTCGGCACGCAGTGGGCATTTTGTGCCTTCAGTATCTGGGGACTGATTCAGTGTTCCCCGTCTTTCTTACCTTTGCTGTTAGCTTCGAAGCTGCCTGCATCCTCGTTCAGATGACTATTTGCTTTCTCTGTAATTTATGTAGTGCAACTATTACATACAACACTAGTCCACGAAGATTGATTTGATTTTATGTAAATATGTAATCGCAGTAAATCTTATCACCATTTTAATTGATTTTATCGCTGAATGTTCAGGCGATCAGAACAATTGCTAAGAGCCCCATGTTTGCTCGTGATCCAAGGCACCTTCAATTTGAAGCTGATGTAAATCGTTTGTTTCTCTATACAAGGTTGGCTAATATCCTAAGGAAAAGCTGCTCTGGTTTTCTCCTTTTTTCACTGTTTAATTTTCAGTATGGGCAGCAACATATTTAGCACTTGCAATTTTGTGTACTTGGATTCTTTCAAGCTTTCGGCTGCCAATTTGTGTCTTTTATAGTTGTTATTTCATCCTGGTTGTTCATAAGTGAAAGTCATTTATGTGAATGTCTGGTTAGATGAGTTACATCTTCTCAGCTCTTCTGTTAGGCTGGTACCCCTAATCAAACTTCAGGGATTAATCCACCAAACGTGTAGTATTGGGATCTCTGTGTTCATGGAGATTTTGTTATACCTAGTTCTCTTGCAAACCCATTTGTGAAGATACCGCTTTCCTGAGTTTCTTCTGCTGTGCACTTAGCTATTCTTGGCTGGGTGAGAATGCTGAAGAGAAGGACGCAGAGGAGATTATTGACTTGGCTAGCAAAGCTTCTGTTGCTGATCAGCAGAAACAAGTGCAGGAAAATGTTCATTATCAACTTAAGCATATGTGCCAATCAATGGATAACATTTTATGTCATGATACAACAAATGATCCGTCAAAGGAACCTTCAGAAGCACATAATCATTCTCGGCGTAGTGGATTGAGTTTTGCCGTTGGTGGTGCTGCATCTTCAAACAAGCAAAGGTAGTTTGTTCTGACTAAGTACATCACATTGGTGCTTTCCTGTTCAAGGGTATTTCATCCTAAAATGGGCTAGTATGTCGATCACTTTCATGTGGATGATACTGTTGCATACTCGCAAAAAAAGAGGATGATACAGTTGCATAACATGTACCACTGAAAAGTCAGTCTCTACATTTTTCTGTTACTTGTCTACCTAACTAAATGAAGATAAGTTCATAAGTATGGTAACTGAGGTAATTTACCTCCTTTTCTGTAACTGTTCCATTTCTGCAGCATTAATTTTTTAACTTCCTTTTATTTGTGTCTTGTATTAGCCATGCTAGCTTGACTTGCATATCACTGTTATGTCTTGTCAGCACAGTTTGTTTGAACTTCCATGCTAGATTACTTACAAATGCATTGTTCTGTTGATTATGACATTATATGCATCATTGAATAAATATGTTGCTGCATGAAGCGATGCTAAATCCTGAAGAGGTTACATGTGTTTACATCTGCACTCGTTTATGTCCAACAAATTCTAAGAAGCTAAGTGCTCATCATTTGCTCTGCAGTGCAGTTATCCCTGCTACACGACCTTTAACTCGAGCAGAATTGTCAAAGAAATTCAGGGATCATTTTGGGTACACCCTTGACATCGGACCATCTGGAATTCCTCACAAAGATGCAGGCCAAGGTCTGTTCTTATCTGGACAAGCAAATGTCGGTGCTGTCCTAGCCATCTATCCTGGTGTTGTATATTCACCTGCTTACTATCGATATATACCTGGATACCCAAGAATTGATGTTTGCAACAACTACCTGATCACAAGATATGATGGAACAATAATTGACGCAAAACCATGGTGTTTTGGTCGTGACACGAGAGAATTATGGGATGGTTCAGATTTGGTGGATTACAATGCTATGCCACCTAAAGGCTCAGAGAACAACTCTGATCGAGTGTGGAGAATGCTTAGCAAGCCCCTAGAGAAAAGTGTAAGGGAAAATTTTGGTGAAGTGCTTGAACGCCGAAATCCCCTTGCTTTTGGTCATTTCGCAAATCATTCACCTAAAGGTTCAAGTCCTAATGTCATGATCTGCCCATACGATTTTCCTTTGACAGAGAAGAACATGAGAGTATACATCCTTAACATTACGTTTGGTGGTGAAGAGACCATTAAGACGAAGAGGTTTGGCTCCTTCTATTTCAAGTCTGGAGGTTCTGATAATCAAGCTGGTGATTCTCTAGTGCTGAAGACGCTAGTGCTCGTGAGTACAATGTCCATCTGTGATGAAGAGCTCTTCCTTAATTACCGTTACAGTTACTCAAAGCGGCGACCAGAGTGGTACAGCCCTGTCGATGAAGAAGAGGATAAGAGGAGATGGAGCTAGTTTAGCACTTCTGTACCATTCTGGTTGTGCATTTTTTTTTTTGTCTAACTTTCTTAGTTCTGTTTTTTTTCCCCGGAAATTGCAACTGAGCGTTGGTAAGCTCCTGAGATCAGATTGAGATGACAATTTTGCCTTTTTTTCCCCATTTGCTATGATGATAGTTTGGTGTCGCAATTATCCTCATGATAAAAGTCAAGCTACTCATGTAAGCTCTACTCTCAGGTCCTTTGTGGTGGATCAAGGATTACATTTGTTACTCCTTTTATGTGTGCCTATCCCAATGGTCTATGGAAGATAAATAATTTATGCATCTATTGCCTGATGATGAAATTATGTTGGAGATTCCCATGCAATTGTCCTTATAAGTATGCTTTACAGTTCCTTACCCGTCTGCCATCTAAATTATGCACTAGGAGTCTACAAAATACTGAGATGGGAAATCCATTTAAACTGGTTTCAGAAGTTTGTGCTCGCATCACTTGATAGGGCATACTTGTGCAAAAGGAAAAATAAAAGGGGAACTTAGTATTTCTTCCATCTTACTGATACTTTTTGTCTACATCTAAATAACTCAAGGGTAGCAAAAACAGCTTATAGTATCCATTTCCTCGTTGACCAGATTTTCAAACAGAGTTTTGGTGTAGGGTTGCTTCTTTTTGAATCAACCCTGTATTGGATATGCTCATGTGGCATAGTGACCTTCCTTCTTGCCGCATTATCTGTTCTTCCTTGCAAACCCAGCTTCACTGAAAGTCATGCAGTGTTGTTGACTATATTCCATCTCTTGAACCGTGCCGTATGTGGTATGTTTGCTCTTCCTTGTGATATGCATGCATGGTGTCATCATGGCAATTTTGCTAGTAGCACCGAAAGAGTGCGTTGTTTGGTAAAATCACAAGAAATATATTTCGGTCAAATAGCTGCTCTGGGAAGCCTTGAGATTTTGCCGTCTGGACGGTGATTTTGCTTGGATTGTATGGCTTGACAGGTTAGTTAACTTTTGTATTTTAGGATTTCTTCCTTCTCATAGTCTCTTGTGCCTGCAATTATGCATTAATCTGGCATCACTTGGTTTGGTTTTTTTTGTTTAGTTTTTTTGGTTTTATGAATTTGTATCTGGTTGGGTAGATGTCTTAGGGGAAAAAAAATAGAACACCATGAGATAAAACCCTGAAAGAATGCAAATTAATTTATCTTACATTCAATGGGGCTCGAAAGATAATCTGGCGATGCAAAACGCACGCGTCATGCTAGCTTGACTAGGCACAGTTCTTGTCTTCTTGGTCCCAGCTTAGGAGCTGTTCGGCTGATGGTTTTTGTGGCTGATAAGTCGGCTGAAACTGATCTGTTGTGGTTCTTTATGAAATAACATTGTTTTAGGCATGCCCATGATTGATATATTTCTGTAGTGTCAACGTCTGCGCTGTCATAATCCAGCAAAACCAACGAAATCAGTGTACATTTCTCTTGATTAATGAGGTTGCTTCTGGAACCTTACCCTTCTGCATAGATAGTTGTGAGAATTTCTTTATCAGACGTTAATTCCGTGAATATGATGTTTTAGTGCTAAAATACAACCTCCTCGATTATTGGGATACAAAATAAATGCATTCTGAAGACCAGATTGGAATTTGGTTTCTGCCCCATGCACAGACGTATGTTTCTAGTGAAGATAAGTTCTCGAGTCTATTTTAGCCTTCTAAGGATGGCACATTTCTCAATGGCAAGTTTTTCTCTTTTGTTACCCCTGATCGATAAAATCTGTAATCGTAATCCATATATTACCCATGAGCCAATAAATCATCGGCATCAAAGTCTTGAATACAAATTGACAGTTTTTAGCAATTCGTTTTTTTGGTTATGACAACAATATACTCTCTTCAGTCCAGTTTATAAGACGTTACATGACACGAACTCCTAAATTATATATTGCTTATTTATTTATTTTAGTTTATTTTGTTATTATAAGAGATAAGTTTGAAGTTATTGGATAGTTTATTTGGTTACGAATTTAACATTATCAAGTTTGTGTTACAATATCCACAAATTATCGGTTAAATTATATTTATCAAAAACTAAAATTTTTGACTCTTGACATACATGAAATGCCTTATAAACTGAAATGGAGGGAGAGCTGTTGGGGATCAAATCTTCTCGGTCGTCATTTCACCGTATATAAACTTACATTACCCATAAGAACGGCCATGTGCCGGTCCGATACAATCATGCACTAGCTGGAAAAAAAATTAAAGACGGCAAAAGCTTTGCCGATTTTTTATTAGACGGATAAAAGGGAAAAAAAACACATTAATTACAGAGTTCTATGTGGAAAAAGGAAAACTCCCAACTACCAAAACTAGAGGACCAGCAAGCTACTACGGCGCACAGGCCGGCAAACGTACACCAAAACAACTTAAGCAAGAAAACAAAATAGAGCGCCAACTCCCTAAGAACCGAAAACAACCCGGAAGAAAGACTACTCCCCGCTATCGATGGGTCTTGTTGCCGACTGGAACTGTTGAATATCATCTTTGCAAAGTAGGGCGACTTGTCTTGGTTGTAAAGATTTTTTGTTGGAATGTTCTTCTATTCTGTTCATTCCAAACGTTCCACTAGAAGCAGATCATAATTCCATCTATCCTTTTCCTTTGCCTTCTTTAAAATTTTGCGCGACATTTACGCCAGTAGCTATGCAGCGATCCATTCATTCCCATTGAATCAAGTACTGCCAGATCGAGCCATTGTTTTAGATAGGACCATACTTGCTTCGAGAAGGTGCAGTCTTTGCATAGGTGAGTCGGTGTTTCTGGGTCCACCCCGCATAGTTTGCAAATGGGATCGTGTGTCCAGTTGCGTTTCGCTAAATTGTTAGCGGTAAGTATCTTCGTATGAACTAGTGTCCAAGCAAAAAAACGGCATCTAGGTTCTGCTCCTGCCCTCCAAATCAGCGTTAGTCTTAACTTGCTGAATGAGCCTTCAAATTGGATTTGATATGCACTCTTAGTCGTGTATTCTCCATTGTTTGTCCAACGCCATCGTATGGAGTCTTCCATGTTTTCCTGCAGACTGACGTCGTGTATTTTTCCCATAAAACTATGTATTCATGTATATATCTCTTGTGCCGTCTGAAGGGGCAATATGTGTGAGATCCACCGATTGTCACGTATAGCCTTTTGGACCGAGATCTTCTTCCTCTTTGCCTTTTGGAATAATGTTTGCGCAAGATTCTTTGTCGTAGTTCCCTCGATCCAGGCTAATGTCCCAAACCGTGCGGTTTTCCCATCTCCTGATGTCACTACCGTTGAAGCAGCAAAAAGTTCGCGGTCTCGACTATCGCACGGCAGCTCTAGTTCATTCCAAGCGCGCTCCTTGTGTTTCCATTGAAACCAAAGCCATCGTAATCTTAGCGCCCTTGCAAAACATTGAAGTTCCATGATTCCCAGTCCACCTTTTCCTTTGGGCCGACAAGTCATTGGCCAATTCACCAAAGAGTGCCCGCCATAAACCTTGTCTGGGGTTTCTCCTCTCCATAGGAAACCCCGTCTCAAGCGATCAATCCTTTGGATTAGCCATTTGTGTTCAGGGAAGGCAGTCATGTGATAGATGGGTTGAGCTGACAAAACTGTCTTAACTAAAGTTTCCTGCCCGACGCGGATAGAAGTCTCCCTTTCCAACCCAGTAGTCTTGCCCCTATCTTGTTAATCAAGGGTTGAACTTTGATTTTTCGCAGCTTACGAATGTGAAGGGGAAGTCCTAGATACTTTCCAGGGAAATTACATATCTTCCTGGGAAATTGCGAAACAGGTGACTGACCGCGTTGTTGTCCAAGCGGATGGGGAAGATTTCTGTTTTTGAGATGTTTATTTTGAGCCCCGAAATTCTCTGAAGAAGGATAGAATTCTGTGTAGGCGATCTAACTCCAAGGCTGCAAAAATGGCTGCATCGTCGGCATATAGGGAGCAGCGCAAATTTGCCACCTTTGGGAGGATTCCTTTCTGGGCTACAGTCTCAGTGGGTCTATAGCCAATATGAACAACAGTGGGGAGAGAGGATCTCCTTGTCTTAATTCCCGAGCATGTCTAATCCCTTGAGTTGGCTGACCGTTAACTAGGATTTTTGAAGATGCAGTTCCTAGTAAAGATGCTATCCAATCTCTCCATTTTTGGCTGAAGCCCAACGCCTCCATGACTTCAAGCAGGAAGTTCCATCCTATGGAGTCAAAAGCCTTTGAGATATCTAGCTTGATGAACAATGCTGGTTTCTTTCTTTTGTGAAGCAATTGTATTACTCTTTGTGCATAAATGAAATTGTCATGTATGCATCTTTTCTTTATGAAGGCGTTCTGCGCATTGGACACTAGAGCGTTCATGTGAGGGGCAAGACGGTTCGCTAGAATTTTTGTGATAATTTTGACAACACTATTGATTAGGCTAATCGGCCTAAAGTCCGACACTTGTGAGGCCACTTGTGTCTATGGCAATAATACGATATTTGCCTTATTGATGAGATTGAGCTTTGCTGTTCGGTGACAATAGAAACTCAAGATGGCCTGGACGATATCTTCTTTTACCACCGCTTAGCACTTCTTGTAGAACAGACCAATAAACCGATATGGTCCCGGTGCTTTCTCCATTGGCATTTCTTTTATCACTGACGCTATTTCCTCTTCTGTGAAAGGAGCGTCCAGTTCGCCGAGGTCATGACGTACATATCCTAGCTCATTCCAGTTAATGGCCTTTGTTCTTGAGTTCGGTGATCCCAAGATTTGGGAGAAGTGGCCATGTACCAACTTTGATTTTTCATTTTGTGAGAAAACTATCCCCGTGTGACTGCTTAGGGAGGCTATGAAGGTCTTTTTTGTCTTCTCGCATTTGCATGGAGTTTGAAAAACCGCGTATTTGTATCCCCTTTCCGAATCCAAGTAAGTGCTGAGTGTTGTCGAGCCCTGGCCTTTTGCACTGCTGCAATTCCAAGGGCCTTGACTTTTAGATATTTCTTGA